TTTGAAACCTCTCTCTCTCTCTCTCATCCCACCTGCCAAGTTTCCAGGGGAAGGGCAGATTGCTTTTGCCAGAGGCCTCTGACAGGTTTCCAGGGGAAGGGCAGATTGCTTTTGCCAGAGGCCTGAACGGATTATTTCCAGAGGGCTTTGGAAATTAGGCCAAGGGACCTGTGTAGGCCTGGGGTCACAGGTTGCTCATCTGCAGATTAATGTCACCAGAGATAATCTCCTTAAAGGTTCATTAGTCATCCTGGAACTTGGCCAGGCCTTTGCCTTCCACAAAGAAACCCAAGGAGCAGTCCGATGGATCCACGGTGCCTCCAAGTGCCAACCACAAGTTCTCCCAGAAGTTCTCTGGAATTAAGACATCACTGGTGACTGTTGTGAAGGTCAAGCAGGACAAGCGTCTTCACACGTCCCTGTAGTTCCTAGACAGTGATCCCAATTCCCTACAAAGTAGCACAGAAAACACACAGGCCCCCTGATCCTTCTTTCCAGAGAGAGGGGCTCAGCTAGCTCCCTTGCTCCAAGAAAGGACAAGGTTTTAGATGTTTGCTACAGAAAACAGGGAGGTTTCTAGAAGGGCCAACGAACTACATGGCCACGGTTATGACCCCATCTTCTTGCTCAGGAAAAGCAAGTACAGTGGTGCCTCGCAAGACAAAAAAACTTGCAAGACAAATGGTTTTGGTGATGGGGTTGATGACTTGCAAGACGAATGTTCCTATGGCCATGCTTAGCAAGACGAATGTTTTCCGTTTTTTGTTCCTGCCTCATGTTTGCTGATTTTTACATGTTTTTCTATGATGTTTAAAAAGTTTTTTGATTGAAATTTTTAAAATCATCTGCACAGTATGTATGGCTTTAAAGAGCACTTAATAAACCCTTTGTAAACCAAATATGACTTCGTTCTGACTTTTTTTTGCCCATAGGAACGCATTAATTAGATTTCAATGCATTCCTATGGGAAAACGTGTTTCACAAGACAAATTTTTCGCAAGACGACATTAACCGCAGAACGAATTAAATTCATCTTGCGAGGCACCACTGTACTAGAAGCAAGGGCCACATGGGTGAGAAGGGCAGCGGTTGAGATCATGATCCCACTTCCCTACCTTCCTTCCTTCCTAGACATTGTTATCTTCTCCTTCCACTGACTTTTCAAAAGTCATCTTAAATATCACTCATGACAAAGGCCTCTGTTTCTAATCCACATCCATATATCAGCTGATCAAATGGTGCACAAAATCCCAATGGACAAGTGAGACATTTCATTCACAGACTGGTCATCGTGGGTGCCATTATCTTTGCTCTTGTGGATTTTCAATTCATTCGGTCTATCAGGGGCAAAGTTTGTTGAATGCAATGAATCACCCTGATATAATAACAACCTTTCAAGTCTCTGATATACAGCCTAGAGAGGTTAATCAGATGCTAGAACAAAGGAAAGCTGTGATAGACACACCTCCCCACTCTTTAAACGGAAAAGCCCACTGGACTCCTTCTTAGTCACCTCTTTAAAAAGCTAAATTCTGATAGCAGTTTTACCATTTATGCTTTTTGTTTGAGTAACAAAATGTTATCTTAAAGGAACAGCACTTTGCATTGCTGATGTTTCAGCCTACAGAACACAATTGCCCTTTCATTCCTAACCTTTCCTGAATTTTGCAGACTCGTTCCCTGCCCAACTAATATATCGAAATGTCTAACATGACCTGTGTATTCTAGGTCATGGTATACATTTGGTAGTATGCTTATATACATATAAAATCCACTTTCAACTAAAATGCACACAGACGTGTTTATTTTGGACGGAAAAGATAAGAATGCACCTTTTTTGTGCTTTAAAAAAAATTAAGGAAAAAAGGTTGATGCAGAAACAGGATACAGTAGCCTTGTGAATAGCATGGGATTTTGGGAGGTAGCCTGATCTACCCACCTTTACTCCAACAGGATATCATTTGATGGAATCAATGTAAGAACATATTTTTACTTTTAAACATTTGTTAAATGTCAGAAGGCTAGATCGTTTCAAAGTTGCTTATAGCTGCATGTTTTCCACATTCCAAATAAATTCTCTATGAGTTATAGAGCGCAGCAGCTATAGCTCACCGGCAGAACATGCATATTTCATTTTTTTTTACAGATGTAAAAAATTCCAGGATCAGGGAAGCAGATCTGAGCATCTAGACATCTTCTTCTTTTTGGTACTCAAAAGTACGAGGACGGAGAATGAATGACGTAGCCAAGAGAAACATACAGAAGTGCTGAGGGCCTGTCCACACTGTAAAATTTGGTGCGATGTAACTGGTGCTTAAAAGGTCCTTCCTTATGCAATCTATATTAACTCGGGTACTCATCCGCAAAGGCAGAACAAAGAGCGATTTTGCACCTCAATGAATAGTCTCCAAAAGATTGCATGCCCTAGCCCTGTGCCAGAAAGATACCAGCCAGCTCTTAGAGGGGAAGGATGGATTCTTTTAAGTAGAAACACAAATGGATGAGGTCTTTCTGTCCCATGCCAAACAGTGCTATTAGGGAACCACATATCGTAACTATTTGACAGTGTGGACAGGGTCTGATACAACCTAAAAAAAGAACAGGTGAGACAATCTCAAAGGCTATGGCTCATGAATTCAGCCAACCAGGGCGCAAACAACATCCTGCAAAAATGGGCTCAGTTCTGCAGCAAGACCGGAAGCTGTGCATCTTCCATTCTAACTCTGTAGACAATCACTAACAGTACTAACCAATAGTTCTCTCCTGTCAAAGAGAGCCCCGCCTCTCTGCTCAGTGTTTTTTTCCACCTATCCTTCGTCTGTTGGAAGCAGTGAGTCTGTTGTTGAAGGCAATCGTGTTGATCAGCTTCCCGATAGCTGCTCAATTGTAAGCAACGAAAACTTTTATTCTTTCCCCTACGAATGTCTCAGAGTGAGTTATTGACTCTGCTCAGTGTTTTTTTCCACCTATCCTTCATCTGTTGGAAGCAGTGAGTCTCTTGTTGAAGGCAACCGTGTTTATCAGCTCCCTGATAGCTGCTCAATTGTAAGCAACGAAACCTTTTATTCTTTCCCCTACGAATGTCTCGGAGTGAGTTATTGAGATTGTAAGTGCTAGTTGATAAGAAAAGGGGTTGGGCAAAACTGAAGAAATTGAAGCTATTTTCCTCTGTGAATCCCTGCACTTATGCTAGAGGAGTTTAAGCAGAAATTCAAAACTCAGTAACAGACACCACTTCAAAATTGATAGAACGGCTCTCGGTTATTTGAATTGACAAATAAGGTATGTGTCAAGGGTGAACATAAATAGCTATTTTTCAAAGCCCATATCCTGGTGGGGAAGGGGGAGTGTCAATTACTGGAGCCTTAGCTGATGCTGTCTACTCGTCAAGCAGTGAGTGAAGAAAGAAATAGATTGGCTTCTAGATCACTTCTCATCTAGAAGAGATCTCATCTCCCTCTTCCTTCCTCCCTCTTTCTAATGGGGGGGTGTTACTGAATCCGGAGCTTGGAAACATTGCTCGTTTGGACTTCAATTCCCAGGATTCCCCTGTTGGTTTTAATCCCCCAAAAATGTCAAGCTCTTCCTAGAGCATGAAACTAGAGAACATGTCATGGGAGACAAAGGTGGGCCCATGGGCAGGGGTGGCGCATGCCCAATGCAGCCTGCCTACTGTTGATTTTGATGCTTATGTTAAACATTTATGCTATACTTTCTTTTAGCAATGTCTTGAAGGTGGTTTCTCAAAACATTAACAGCCACAATTAAAGCAACAAGAAACAATGGCATTCAGAGCATTATCGCTGTTTCTCATGGAAGAAACAATGGCACTGAAACCAAGCATTCAGAGCATTATCGCTGTTTCTCATGTACGGGCCTTGAAGATGACGAGAGTCACAGTAAGAAAGATGCATGCCAGATATTGTGACAATCACACATTGAATGATACTGTTAAAAAAAATCTATGGCCCAACCACCCTATCATACAGCAAGCAATCAAAAATCCGTCCTGACCAGGACACTTTCCAACACATACCAGGGTGTGTTAGGTATATATACAAAATATCACCAAGCTGACAAAGCCGTTGCATACTTGCAATCATTATAATGCTTTTAAGCTCAGTTGTTAAGGTAAGGTCTCCAGGTAAGCCATGCCCTATAATCTCATAGGGTCCTGTAAAGGGAAATGTAACCCTACAGTGATATGGACAAGCCTGACTTCAGCAGAGAAATATATGCACCCTTCCGAGGCAGCCAAACTCAGGATGCAATGCAACTGCGAATCAAATTCACATCCATGGAACATTTATACAACCAGAAAGTTAAGGCGCCTGTCATCCACTGTATGGATTGGAGAAATGCGCACACACAACTGGGACCTAAAAGGATTTAAGACAAGGTCAAAACCCAAAAGAACGATAGAGGAATGGAGCAAGGCATTCAAACTCTTCATTGGATAAGATGGTTTAGGATCTTTTACCCAATGAAGCTTCCTGGAGATCATGGAAGCTTGCACCTCCTTTGATGTCTTTCTGGTGCGCCTGATAAAAATATGACCACAATATAGTTTTGGGGAATTTAGACACAATTTTGTTTGGGGCATATAATAAAGAACTAGTGATGTGCCCCATTCCTTCTGCAAATTCTTTCCCTTTCTCTCCCTGAATCCAGTTTAGACTCAAACAACCAGGATCCTTTCCCACTTCTGCAGAGCGCAACAATCCGACTTGCAGAGCCCCCCCCGATGCCCTCTCTGCAGCATCAGCAGGAATCGTTGAAAGCAACTGTGCAGTCTAACAGAACCACACTGGACTCCTCCTGACCCAATCTCTGCCACTGACAAAGGTCTCCACAGGATGAGCGGCACCAGCAAGCAGTAAACCAGCCAATCCATTGAGAGGCTTAGCTTGAGCAGATCGTCACTGGGTTTCTCTCCGATCCCCTTCTCTGCCTGGCACCCTCCACAACCTCCCACCTGGATCATGGCAAGCCACACTTACGTCACGGAGTTCCTTGGCCACTTCCTTGAGTTCCTGCAGGATACCCTCCAGCTGCCCGATCACCATCTTCATGCGCCCCCGGATGCGTTCCCTCTCACTGGTGTGGCTGCCGTCGGTCGCGTGGTCAGTGGGCTGCCTATCCTGCAAGCCCCGGGAGTTCATCCTTCACAGGGTGCCAGGGCGCTGGGGCAGAGTGGCGCTGCGCATTCTGCTTTTGCCCAGCCAGACTATGCCTCCACGGAACCCCTCTTGGCTGGGGAGATCTCCACATCTTAACGCTCCCCAACCCTGCCCCAGAAACTCCCGACCTCACGCTTCCTTCCAGCCAGCCCCGGATCTCCCCCACCCTAGCTCAGTGGGGGCCACAAAGCCGCCACGGCCACGGGGAGGGAATCGTGGGAAGAATCAATCCAACACACCCCATTTGTTCCAGTTGGAGAGCAAAGCCTCAAGGGTGGGCCAAGCTGGAAGAAAAATTGGTCAAGAGAAATGACCGGGAATGGCCAACCTAAAGGGTTAAGGCTTGCTTTTCATGCTTCACTCTGCCAACTCTTGAAATGCCAGGCTCGTGAGAAAATGCAGAAAGAAGCTGTGCCGGTCTATGCCATGTTGGCTGTCTCAGCAAAAAGGGCATCCCCACAGTTAGTTTGTCCACCGTCCTTTCCAAGGATTGCCCGGAGAGATCCTGAAGGCAGCAGTGTTGGCTTCTCTTCTCTCTCAGGGTCTTCTTCCCATGTCTTCCTCTGCAGACCCCACAGAATGGGTCAACTTTGGTGTTCCTGCAATCTCCATTCTCTTGGCGAGCTCGGAGGGTGGATCAGGAGAGACTCCCAGCCGGACCAAGATTTCTTTGTGGGGATCTCAGGAAGCTCCTTTAAAAAAAGACCAACTTGATTTTCAGCATTAAAAAAAAAAGGCGGGCATCCACAAGATGCTGGAAGCACAGAGGATTTGACACCACTTCCTGCAGATGAGGAGAGAAGAGAGAATGAGAGAAGAAGGAAAGGGGGGGGGGAAGAGTCAAATCACACAAAGGGGTGTCTCTTGGGAGAATGCCACTGATCGTTCAAATCACTAAATCTGACCACGGGACAGATATTCCCGGGGGCAATTTCCAGTGGAGTCTCCCCATTGGCAAAGGTCCTGCTCAGATCAGAAGGACATGCCTGCCCTCTTGGGAAAACCTATCTAGGCTGTGGGATTAACGCCCGTCTTGACCCACAAACTCCTTCACCTTCCCAGTGGGGCTAACTTCCTCATGAGGGTTGATATATTTGGGTGAGGATCACGTCGGATTGTTAAACATCGAGACCTATTCCTTTCTCTCTCTCTCTCTCTCTCTCTCTCTCACACACACACACACAGACTCACAACACACCACAACACAGAACTGAATCCCCTTACTTGATCTGCTGACTTTTGCATGCCACCAAAGCTAAACTTTAGCATCATTGCCCCCCAACCCCCAGCCGGGCCCATAAATAGGAGAGGCTGCATATGGACTTTGCTGTTTTAAGAAAGCCCTCTTGAAAGGGACAAAGGCACTTCCATTTTAAAATCCCCCTACGATGATTTTAAGAGCCAACTTACTCCCCAAGCAGCTGCTCCGGAACCATGTAGGGTTGTTTTCGATCTGACTAGATTTCCCGTTCTGCTTTCTCCGGGTAGCCTCCCTGGGTGTTAGGAGCAGATCCTTCAGTCCTATTTCCTTTCTCTAAGGCTGGGGTGAATCTGGACATTGGTAGTTAGTCATCCGGTACATCCAAGAAAACAAAACATATATATATAAATAAATACCTCAAAGATGTGGAGTGGAAGCCAGGGGATGGATGATAATGCTCCTGTCCCTCAGCTCAACCGTTGGATCACATGGAGATGCATCGTGATGATAGCCCTTCTGGTTTCTTTTGAGTAGGGAGGAGAGAAGTGAGGAAAAACAGTGTGCGGGGGGAAACTGGGCTCATGAAGAGAGACAGCAGAGAGGCCACCCCACCACACACCGACACACACACACACCTTCCCCGCAACCAGCTCGCCAAGCAGCTGGGGGAAGATTAATCAATTCAGTTCAGAAGCTCCAGTTTCGCAGCATCTCCATCTGCATCGCAGAAGGGTGCACCCCCATCGGCGCAGGGGTCCCCCCTGGTCTCCAGTCCACAGGTGACATAGCCCCAGCCCAAGAAGAGGTCTTTGGGAAGAGGGAGGAGGAGGAGAAGACGACCCAGAAGAGGGGGTTGCCAAAGGAAGTCAGCATCCTTCCTCCCACCTCATCTCCAGCTTCTTTTCTCCAGAAGCCCCCCTGCCTGGAGCGGTTCGGCTGGGCAGCGCAGCGTCGGAGGAGGAGGAGAAGGAGGCACCATCAAGGTCTTGCGTTGCGCTCCTGGAGGCGACTGCTGGACCCATAAAGAGGTGCCTTGAGATGCGGGCTCCCTCACATCCTGGCCCGGGCAGCCAAGCTGGGAAGACGGAGGAGGCTCAGGCCAAGCAAGGAAGGAGGAGAAGAAGAGCGAGAGGGGAAGAGAAGCAACGGAAGAGTGTCATCATCTTGGCTGTCCACGTTTGAGGTTCTTCAGCATCCGCTGGACCACCACCAGCAGCAGCTTAGCGCGCAGTTCCCGATGCCTGATGCTTCGTCGGGAGGGAAAGCCATCCAGCCAAGGGGAGAGATGCCAATGGCTCCTTTTTATTTCTCTCTCACAAGTCTGAGCTCACTCGGGCCGGCTGTCCAGCCGGGGTGCGGATGGATGAGGTGTGCAAGTGTGTGTGTGTGTGTGTGTGGATGCGTGCGGCCTGCAGCTGCCGGAGACATCTCCTCTCCTGCTCGCGAGCGGCGGGGAATTGCACTTCTTTCTCTCCCCCCGCGTCCCTCCCCATCTCCACCAACATCCTCCTCCTCTTCCAGGCTGCCAGCTTGAAGGCTATTGCTCAGCTTAAGGATGCTGGGCTGGTGCTGTGTCAGAAAAACGAGGCGTGGCCTCCTCGGAGCAGGAGGATTTAAAGAGCCAGAAACTCTGGCCTCCGGGGCCGGCTGCTGTAAGCGGAGAAGTTTTGTTTTTGCCGGGGCTGTTTTTTTTTAAAAAAATCATGATCGGAAAACAAAAGAAAACCCCTATCTGGGCCATTTAAATTGAAGTGAGCAACTGATAACTTTTTTTTTTTTAAAAAAGATTCTGTGCGTAAAATGCCCCTGTAGGACCACTGAAGTGAGTTGAAATGCACAATCAGATTAGAATTCTCTAGATCATCTTGGAAAAGTTTATTTTTTCAGGAATAGCAATCCTGAGACGGTGTGACAAACAAGGCAGGTTTTCCCCCAAAAGGGGCATTTTTCTGAAGGCCATTCTCAACTAATCGCCCTCTGTCAGCACTTTAAGAGCAGAGGCAGAAGTGGGTAGAGGGGAATCCAGGGGCATCTTGGAGTCCGTTTCTGCATCTTCTGATTTATTTTGAAATATAGCTTTGCTGTTGTTGTTGTTGTTGTTGTTGTTGTTGTTGTTGTTGTTGTTGTTGTTGTTGTTGTTGTTGTTGTTGTTGTTGTTACATCCTGTCCACTTGCTCCCGACTTAGGGCGACCTTATGAATGAGCTCTCTCCAAGATGTCCTGTCTTCAGTGGCCCTCCTCAACTCTTGTAGACTCAACCTTGTGGTTTCCTTCAGGGAGTCAGTCCGCCTTGCGTTTGGTCTTCCTCTTTTCCTGCTGCCTTCCACCTTTCTCAGCATTTTTGCCTCCAGAGATCGTTCAGGCTTGATTTGATCTAGGACCCACTTGTTCATCTTTCTGGCAGATCAAGGTCTCCGCAAAGCCCTTCTCTAGCAGCACATTTCAAACAAATCTATTTTTTATTTTTTTTTGGTCCTGTCAGTTTTCTTTACTGTCCAGTTTTCACACCCATACATGGTGACTGGAAATACAACAGTGTGAATGATCTTGATCTTGAGCTCAAGGGAAACATCCTTACACATTGCATCCTATTTTTCGTTGTGCAATGACGATGATGATAATTGCAGAGCAGAGAGTAGAAACATGCATGAAAATTCATGCATCTATTTGTGGCTTGGGCACGTCGTGAGAATGGCTGATGGTCGGATTCCAAAAGATCTCCTGTATGGAGAATTAGTGCAGGGAAGCCGCCCCCGAGGGAGACCACAGCTGCGTTACAAGGACATCTGCAAGCGGGATCTGAAGGCCTTAGGAATGGACCTCAACAGATGGGAAACCTTGACATCTGAGAGTTCAGGCTGGAGGCAGGCGGTGCATCATGGCCTCTCCCAATTTGAAGAGACCTTTGTACAGCAGACCGAGGCAAAGAGGCAGTCCTGAAACGAGCAAAACCAGGGAGCTGGCCAGGGGACAGATTGGATTTGTCTCCAGTGTGGAAGGGATTGTCACTCTCGAATTGGCCTTCTCAGCCACACAAGACACTGTTCCAAGACCTCCATACAGAGCATGATACCATAGTCTCTCGAGACTGAAGGATGCCTACATTTGTGCACATTTCTCTTCATGCATTTTTGTGATGACCTCAGAGCCCAACACAGACACATAGGCTGTAGGTGGGGCTGATCAGAGCTCAGAAAAGTTACCTTCTCCAGCTACAGCTCTCAGATCCTCTAGTTCAGTGGTCCCCAACCTTGGGCCTCCAGATGTTCTTGGACTACAACTCCCAGAAGCCTTCACCACCACCTCTGCTGGCCAGGATTTCTGGGAGTTGAAGTCCAAAATCATCTGGAGGCCCAAGGTTGGGGACCATCGCTCTAGTTAACATCACTATATTCTCTATAAGTGCCAGCATGATCTGTGTTCATAATCAATGCATCCAGCCAAGGATACAGTCTTGTGACATCCATGCTGCGTGTGCTCTATATTAATACAAAACTTTGCGAATGTTAATACACTCTTACCTCAAGTAATCTGAATAAAATTCTTCAGTGAAGGAATTCACACAAGCAAATTCAATATCTATATGATCGTGTGACTGCTGGCCCTGGTCATATCAAAGAAAAGGAGAAAAGGGATTCTAACAAGAAAAGTTCTCTAACAAGAAGCACAGCTACTGTATGTCTGTTTTGTTTTGGGGTATAGCACGTGTTCTTTTTAAAATCTCAGATATTTCCAATTGACACTTGGGGATTTCAGAAAGCTCATAATTTCGGGGGGGGGGGGGCACCAAACAAAACTCTGAACCATGCCTAATTTCTAGGCAGTGGTTTTCAAGCTGCAGAAATTTAGAGTATGAAAATAAAATTGTGCTCTCTCTTCTGGGAGTTCCACCTGTGCTGGAGTGCATGAAAAACTAGGACACATACACAATAAAAGAGATGGGAGAAATATGTGTGTAATCTCATATTTGTCTTTATTCAGTTCATATTCTCAGAGATGTTTTACCACTCAAGAGTAACTGTCAGTCTTTAGTATTCTGTAGTGTCGGCTGGAGCTGTGGAACCAGTGACAAGAAGCCACGGATGGATTAATCACCCTGAATTGTTATGAGAGGCTCATTGGATGACCTCTCTTCACATGTTCTCCCTTTCTCTCTCCTCCTCGTTCCCTTCCATGTTTATTTATGATTTTCGTTAGAAAAATGATTCATTGGCTTATCTGCACTTGTGCTAATGAAAGAGTTTCTGCCGATCTGTTCCGCCAGCTCCTTTTTGTTTGCTGCTTCAAGACATCATGGTTGAGAGTCTAGAAAACTTACTTCTTTGGACTACGAGTCCCAGAATCCATCAGCCAGCCTGCAAGTGCAAAAAAGCCATTATCCACCCCTCCTCGACCAAGTACAGTACTGCTAAAGAGCTGCTTTATGCATGAATGCATTCCAAGATAAAGTATATCTTTGTAAGAGCGATTTGCTTGTACACTTCCAAAATGCAAGTGCTGCCTATAACACACATGCATTATAGGTCAGTGGGAAAAAAACAACCAATTGCTTCATAGGTAAAAGGTATAGGTTCCGTTCCTAGCATCTGCAGTTCAAAAGGACCAGGTGGCCTGTGATGGAACACTGAAGACCCTCAAGAACTTTTACTAGGATAGGTAGACAAACACAGTTTGCTGGCCGGGGTGGGGGCTGGGATTTTAGGAGCTACAAACTCCAAAAGTAACTTTTACAAGCTTTTCAGAAAGTCTGGATTCTGTCTTTCTCTGCCTCCTTATCGCTGTCAACTGGCAACGTATTTCACACCTGTATCCATGACATCTTCTTGGTTGGAAGGGTGTGGCTCACTCCAGTTTTTAAAATACCGGAGAAGCCTCTACCCATTGGGTAGCTTTCTCCAGAATCACCTGCTCTCATGGATGAGAAACCAAGCCGCCTTCCCGGCCAATTCAGCAAGCATCTGCCCAGGCAAAGAAGAGCTGCCCAGCCACTATCACCAAATTTTTACACACACATACACACACCCCGAATTTTCTATTTGGAAGCAACCCACTGATTGTGAAATGCTGATATAGCTCCTTAGAGTGGTCCTAATGACCAGATAGGCGGGATATAAATGAATGAATGAATGAATGAATGAATGAATGAATGAATGAATGCATGCATGCATGCATGCATGCATGCATACATACATACATACATACATACATACATACATACATACATACATACAGTGGTGCCTCGCTAGACGATGATAATCCGTTCCACTGAAATAGCTGTTTAGCAAAATCATTGTCTAGCGAAAAACATTTCCCTATTGGAATGCACTGAAACCTGTTTAATGCGTTCCAATGGGGAAGAATCATCATTGTCTAGCGAAGATCGGCCATAGGAAAGCCACTTTGCGAACCGCCGATCAGCTGTTTAAATCGCTATCTTGCGAAGCTTAGGTTCTGAAAACACCTGTTTTGCGAGCGTGGAGGGAGCTGTCAAAATTGTTGTCTAGCGAAAATTGGTTTGCGAAGCAGGGACCAAACATTGTCCAGCGAAATTCCCCCATAGGAATCACTGTTTTGCGAATCGCTATAGCAATCGCAAAAAGCCAATGTCTAGCGAAAAAACTGTCATGCAGTCTAGCGAGGCAGTACTGTAAAAATGATATTCGAGATGACACGGCCAGCCAACCGACAAGCAGCCAGCATCGAAGATGTCAAAATACAGATGGAAGCAGAGGTCCAAGTGATGGTGCTATCTCGTCTCAGATGAGATTCTGAACAACAGATGCTCTTCCCGCTTGCTCCCATGCCACCTTCTCCTCTTTCCACACAACACCCCCTCCCCCATTCTGTATCTCTTTTGTTGGTCTTGTGGACGCAGTGGCCTGGGAAGAATCAAGGTGTTATCCTTCCCTCCCCACCCCCTGCTTTGACACCTAGCAAGCTGATGCTTAGGACACATTCTGGAAGGCTAGTCTCTTATACTACTTCTGACAGCGTGCCAGGCAGCAGAAGCAATCTGTAAAATATGGGTCCTGGTGTTACCGACATGTTCCATGAGCACTGGGGGCAGAGGGGGGGAACCTTTTCTCAGTGCCACTGCTGTGCAGCTGTATGCACGCAGCCTAATATATTTCACTGCCTCTAACAGCGGAGTAAATAGCCCTCTTCTGCCAAATCACCCACATCAAGCTGAGTTGTTTTGTGACATGCGGCAGAAAATCCTGGAAATACCTTTTCCTCTTCTTCCTGTCCAGGTGAAACAATAATCCACATAAATCAGCAACAACCTGTTGCCATTTCAGGATGCTCCGACTCTTGTTACCTGAGGCAGTTGCCTCACTCTGCTTAGTGCTTGGGCCAGCTGTGTAGCTGGACCACTGTGCCAGGAATCCGGGGAAATAGACGTTTTTTTCTGGTTTTGTTTTGTTTTCCCCCTTTGGCCCAATGCTGGGATACAACAGGACTGGATGTGGGCTTGGAATAAATCTTTTAGCTTGTGCCACACAGCTGGCCCCCACGTCACATTAGTGAGTCTCTGGCCTCTTCCA